GCAGGACGAGATCTTCTTGCTTTTTCTGCTGAGAAGACTTGAGTTTTGGAAGGCCAGTATTGGCGGCGGCTTCGGCTTGAACTTCAGGCATAAAAAATTCTCGCGTTTTTTTTTTCTGTTACATATCTTTGAAGAAACTTAAGCAGTAGACAAGTGCTTGTAGAAATACAGCTGCGATTACGAGAAGAAGGCTCAGAAGTTCACTGAAACCAAAAACGATGGCAGTGGAGGATGGATCAGGCATACAAGGTAAATCTCATGTTTTCTTTTATTAAAATTGTGATGTTTCCAATTGTACTTCGGGCAAGTTACATAACTACAAGGCGTTTCGGCGCCCTTGCCTGATCTAGAGCCTAGAATACGAAAACAATTTATTAGAACCATTTCTTTAAACACCTTCCACATAAACAGGGAATTTAAAGGGTTGCAAACTATCATAACAAAGTCGGGAGCTGTAACTGTAAAAACAATCAACCTTTATGATTAACCAGCCGTTGCAGTCCACCGATCGCCCAAATTGGAAGAAATGCTTTATTTAGGTTGGAGTTCAGCCGAATGAAGAGTCCTTGAAATTTTGTTCGTACAGCTTCAGAAGTCAAAGTTACATTTGGAAGCCAATTTGGAGATTTGGAAGTCGAACATACGCATCTTCTGATAGGGCTTCTTCATGAAGAGAATCTCCAAGGGCAAAGGCTGTAATAATGAGAGAAAATTTCTGCATTCGTTGAAATTTGCTACTTTTCTTTGGAAAAAACAAGCCCATATATGGCAAGGAAGCAGCACACTGTGATAATATTCCTGATTCTTATTTACATATTAGTGGAGCACTCGAGAAGCTATCCAAGGGGAGCAGTAATTTTTGAAGATTTTCTTTGTTCCGGAGATCCATGTGATAGGCATGAGTATGCTGTTCTTTTCATTGCTCAAATGCTGATTTCGCCATTGAAATTTCGATATTGAATGGAGGAGGGCACGAGTGCGCCCAGTGAAGCTGCTATCCGCAATAAAAGCGAAACCCTTTCCAGTTCAAGGTCTGGATGACGTTTTTACAGTAATCATCGTCAAATCTCAAGCGTGGACAATATCCGCGTTTTAACCTGCAAAAAGATCAGTGCAGTTCCCGCAGTTCGAGTTTTAAGCTCTCGTCCCCACTTGATCCGGAATTTCTTTTTGATGTGGAATATGCTTTCAATCCTGAAAAAAAAGCCTTGATAGTCCTTTCTTGTTATGTGTCCAGCATTCGACTTCTATTCAGATCCGTTTTGCATGGTGCCCATGAAGCGAACTGCGATACCGGGCTTATAGATAGATGCGTGATTTACATTCATCCAGACACCCTGGCACCAACTAGCCCAGCCCGGAAGAATAATGTTTGGTTGGTCGGGAAGGGTCTGTGTCAGACCCGTGGACCACGTGTGTGATAGTGAGCCACTTGATTTTACACTCCCTCAATTCATGTCAGCGTTGTTCAACAAACACATTGGATGTCGTTTATATGAGAGTTCGATTTAGCGTTTATATTCAAATTGAGTGTTGTTAGAAGCTCATATTGATGCTAGCTATTCCGTAATTTAGCCAATTTCGGGGAAACCTCGATCGAGAACTACCGAAAATGTTCGAGGAATATGCTATGAAAGTTGGTGTTGCCAATGTATGTGACATTTTCGTTAACCACTTTTTTGAAAATATTTACACCTAAAGAACAGTCCTCTCATTACCCTGCACCACTGCTTATTGTTTACGTAATTTAGATAGCTCACGATTCGGCAAAGTTAGTTGGTTGCGCCTACAAGAAGAACAAAAATTCGACTTTAACGGTCCACTGCAACTTCGACAAAGGGTATCTATTGTGAATCTTACTTTTGGAGATATTTAGATATGAGATTTTTCAGATGGAACTATCACAAAACCAAACAACCTTTCGTGAAGACTGGTGTGTTGTGTTCGGAATGCGCTCCCTCTTCATGCGAAGATGGTCTCTGCAAACCGTAACAATATTATCAACGTCATTTTTGTTTAAATTTTAAAGCAGTGTGTGACCACGATTTCAGTGAATAGCGAAACTGTCGTTCCACTACTGCTATCCATTTTTCACTGTGATTTCTTATTCAACCTTTACATTACTGCTTACAGGTGTCACATGGCATTAGAAATTCTCAGCGCTGATTTATAGCGTTCCTGACGTTATCATTTTCATTTAGCATTTGCCCTTCTCGAAAACATTTTAATCACCGAGACATTTAGCGTCTTGAATTCTCCAACCTTCAACAAGACGAAAAGGTGTTTTCGAGCAGACGATGTTCTACGTATACATATATACATATATCTCCAAACTGACAGACCTTCGAACGTTATGATTGATGCGCATGGTAATAACATGAAATGAAAATTATACCAACACTTTGTTATTTTGTGGTTTCAAGTGACCTAACTTTCATGCTGAGAAGGTGGTCGCTGATATCATAGCCACTGCAGTGGAAAATTCCTGAAGGCTCTGAAGCACTGACGTCATTTCCTTGACTTCATGTTTTTCCTTATGAAGTGACATCACACGAAAAAATCGGAGCGATCATATCACACGAGGATTCGACAGCATTTTCATCGCTTTCTCCTAAATGCCTAAGGATAGCCTAGCCATAATATCGAATAATGAAGCTCGTGGAAAGCTACAGTTTGAAAAATACGAATTTGGCGGAAATAGCATACATCTTCGGAGTTGAGCGTCCCAAAATAAACTGGTTGAAGAATCGCGTTATCGGAGTAAAGCCTGTCCACCTCAAAATCTAAGAAGGAAGTTACGCGGGCATAGTGAAAAGAATGCCTCCGAAGGGAAGTGCGTGAAAGGTTCTCCTCGGACCCAAAATCTCTGACCTCAAGAGTAGTGGAGCTGCGGAGAAGGTGAATTGCCCTGAGAGGGACTTTAGAGTTTTTGAAATCTGGAGGTTAGTATAATCTATGAGATGTCGAGATATATTTTGTTATTCCACATATTTTGATATCATATGAACGAGTTAATCAAGATTCATTTCCATTATACATTACAATGAATTTTTCGCATATTTATCTCTGCCCGGTTGGCTGCACATTCATCGATAGAACGCTTGCTGCATCGGATATTTCCTCTCACGTGAAATCACACCTCGTTTTCGTTGTCGGTATAATTGATAATTGAGCCAGTTCACAAAGAGGTGTCGAAAGCAAAGGCGAGGAGTTCGTCGAGCTTGAACCAGAAATGAACCAGAAACTACCAGTATTGAGAATCAGCGAGACCGTAGATAAAGCCCTCTCGGGACAATATTAAAAAAATTGTCACTGTTGCATCTGCTGTCGCTGCTTAGTATTGGTTTGCTGGTTGAGCTGTGCTAACAGTACAGTGAACTCAAAATCTTTCTTAATTACGCATTAGCTAATGTTTTTATGCTAAAAATGACGATAAGTGAAAATTAGTCAATACGAGTCACAACAACGATTCGTAGATTCTAGACCGCCGCGGGCGGACATCTTTGCTAGTAGGGCCGACTTTTCACTTTTTGCGGTGTGAAAGCTAAAACATCGAGGCTGGTCGACAAGGCTGCTGCAGTGGACCATGCAAGTGTCATAGCCGAGCCACCAAACAAAAATTGGTTCCAACACAGGAAAATAAGTTAACTCAGCTCTCATAAAAAAATCATAAAACTGACTGTTATCGCTTGAGCCATTGGTTTTAGAGGCGTACGCAAGACTATGCTGCCTTTCGGAGATTTTTGTGAAGTGTGAATTTCCACTATCATCCATCATTATTACCCATTTAAAACTCGAAATTGAGAATACGATACAGGGAGATTCAATGTTGCGACAGGCTCGAGACAGAATTTTTCCGCAAGTGGTGCATGAAATGAAGTGAGAGTTGGATCAGATGTTAGCATGATCATTTTCAACGATTCTCTTCCTTTAAATTTCAATGTCGTCTCCTTCCATTTTGATGACTTGCTTCAGTGGTGTTGAGAGTGACTTGATCACGACGCGCCTTCTTCAACTCCAATCTCTCCCACTCTGCCAAGAGAGGACTTAAAAAAGTCGCTGTTGTAGTGAGGTAGAGCGTGAGCCTCCTACACCAGATACCTTCAAATGACGTTGTCTAGGGATTTAGATCCGATGAAGAAGCAGGCCACAGCTCACTCATCATAAATCGAGGCAGATCGCTCTTGCACCAAGTCTACACCTTTTTGCCTCAAGCGCTGGCGCGCTGCCTTGTTGGAAGGACCTTGGTTGTAGCAAATAGTGGATATGGCGCTAGGGAAGTAATCTATTTTTTGGAGTGATTCTCAATGAGTAGCATTCCTGGTTGCTATCGATTTCAGGACTGAGAAAAATAGGGACATTTTTGCGGTTGAGCTCACATGTGCCATAACAATTACCTGTGCCGCAAATGGCTCTCGATCAACATAACATCGTCCCTCGCTATCAGCTTCTTTAGGCACCCTGGCATGCACATACTGATGTCAAGCCTTGAAGGGCACTTCAGCCGTGTCTGATTCTTCACCCAAGAGCACCGTGTGCAGTTTCAGGCGTTGTGTGTAGCGGCAAGCGCGACGGTATTACGGACTACGAAAGTATAATAAATAAATGAGTAATGCAAACTAAGAAAAATCCGCAATAAAACATATCTGCTCAAAGCTACTCATGACTGGTGATTTCGCAAGAGCCTTCCCATGCGGCATTCTCTCGCATTGACTGCTATGCTTAATCGGAGGGACTGTGGTTCCATCCCAACGAGCGTTCCTTCAAATCGACAAAACGGTGCGACACTCTAGAGACAACCTACAAGTGGAGGGCGTTCGGTGGTTGTGTGTTATTACGACACCTTCTTGAGACTTGCCCGCCATTGCGTTACCTCCCTGAGACTGACCCTTCATGCTTTAAACAACAGTCAACACCAAAGTCTGGAAGGAAAGGCTTTGTTATCTAAAAGATGAGGACTGCAACAAATTCTGATTGTGTCAGAGCGTTTTATAAAGATTAGTGTTATTTGCCCATTCGAGTTCTTGTGTATTTTTGCTTTTCATTAAAGCGATAAGTGTAGTGAAGAGCTCTAAGCATGTTTCCTAGTCGCTTCGTGAAACATGCAAATGTTGATACTGTAGCATTAGATAAGGGGGCCAGAAATATCTAATAACATTTTATAATGGCGCTTTTAGTTGACTTCATTAATAACTGCAATTCAGTGCTATAAAAGCCGTTTCGGGTGAACCAACAAAAGGAGAAATCGAAAGCTGTTGATGGATGATTATTGGAAGGATACAGAACAATCGAGAATCAATAATCGTGGACGAAATCGTCACTCATTATAGAATAGCAGTTGCGTTGCTTTTATAAGGTCGATCTCGCTTGTTTCGGGGACCGGTGTCAGATTTGCAGCGCTTCTTTGTTTCCAGGTAATACCTTTCACGAAAAACTGTAATCAGAAGTGGGCCATTTCTTCTGGGGGGAGTTCAAGGCGAAGCAAACTCCGTTGCCTCATCTCCCCTTAAGCCAGTACGCTTCATCTTCTGATTAGTAATCGACTTCAAGCACGAAAAAAGTTTGTGAGAGATTCGCTGTGGGATATGATACGGATCAAGTTGAATACGACGCTTCAGCTAACCTGTAAGCTATCTTCAGTATAGTGTGCATACAAAACCTATCCTTTGCAATCTCAGTGAGTTGCCAGATGTCGCCAATTCTCGGGGAGGTGGTGCGGGCGGGAACGTGGCTTGCAAGAATAATTATAGCTAACTTTCTTGATCGTCTCACCTATCATTCGTGTCAATCAGTGCGAATGCACCTCACCAACCCAAAAATTTTGTTAATGATAATACCAACTCCATTGGCACCGAATGGAACTTCAAATACGCCTACGAAGCATCTATGCAATTAAGCTGATAGTGGCGTTTAGATGTTTTTTAAGCAGGCAATTCGCTTCACATGACGACTTCAAGGTCCCTGAATGTGTTATACAGTAAGCAAGCTGAAGCGCAGTAAGCGAGCGAGTCCAGTGAAGCGGCTGATATCATGTTACGCGAGCCGTCAGATTAGGAAGGTTTATCTTTAAAGCATCGATACAGAGAGAGCGGTCAATATCTCAAAGTATCTGACCCGTCAACATCTCAAAATCACATCATCCTACTTATATAATCGGCTAAGTGTCCATGTTCGACTCTCGATGAATCTTGGCATAGCTTTGCATTGATGTTATATGACTTTTTAAAACCTGCTGCCAAGATGTTAAATAAGTTCTTATCAACTTACGTTTCGGCGTAATCGCCTTCTTCAGAGCCTTTAGGA